AAACCAATGTATCGCCGAAAAAGGTAATAAGCCGCCCACCACTTTTTGCACGGTGCACAAAAAAATTAAAAGTAAAAGGCGTAAATTAAATTAAGCAAAAAATAAAGTTATTTAAAGCAAATCCGTACCGGTTAAATTAATAACCGGTTTGTAATTTGGATTTACTTTTTTTTCGTTATTCGTAATTTCCGGTAACGAAATTTCGTACTTTTCCGCAATATATTTGCTTGGAAAAAAACGGCTAAAGCAAAATTAAAGCCGTACTTTACTTTCCAGTAATTTTGCATAACCTTTCGGACCGTACTTTCGTTTTTAGCAATTATTTGCTAAAGCGTATAAAAAAAAGTATTTCGGTAAATTGCTAATTGGGAAAAAAAAAACGTTATTTTTTTGTTTGCTAAATTGTTCGCGGGCAAAAAGCAAAGCCTTTTCGCGGAAAGTATGGAACCGATCGTTACAATTCCGGCGTTATTACTAATATATTTGGATAAAATCGACCTCGTTTTAAAGGAAAATTTTTTACGGGCGCACCAACGCGGTAATTTCGTTCCGCCGTGCTTTTTGCAAAATAAAACGTACCCGCAATTGCTTTAATCGTTTATTTTCCTTTCGTTTGTAATTTTTTAACCACCGCTTAAAAATCGTTAATTCCATTTTAATATTTTTGCTACAAAAGCGCCGGCGCTTTTTACGTTGGCCGGCAAAGCGCGCGCTTTTTATTATTAATTGTTTGCAATTGTACGTCGCCCGCTAAAATTGGGCTTATTTTAATAATTAATTAATTAAAAGAACTTTTTTTTTTCGATTAATATTCGTTTTTTTCCGCTACCGGAACTTTTTGATTGCGCGCGCGCTTGCAAGTATCGCCGCCTCGTTAGCTTTTTTTACTTTGGAAGCAACGTAAATTACCGTTGGCGAAATCGGCTTGCCCGTTGCGGCAAAAGATTGCAAACGCTTTTAAAGCTAGTTTTCGTACGGGCGGATTGCTAATAAATCCAACGTTAAAATTGTAGCTTTTTTCCAATCGCGGGCCAGCAAAATAAGCAACGGCGTTTTTAACAAACGCAAAATTTCGTTGGCCTCGTTAGCCTCGTTAAAAAAAAAGGCAAAAAACCGGCCTCGTTGTTTTATCCGGCGAAATTGTTTGGTTGCGTTAAAAATATAGCCAACTTTTTTGGTAATTACGGCTTTTAACGTAGCCGAAATAAGCGGATTTTCCAAATTATTAAGTATAATTTTCGGATCGAAAAGTTAAAGCCCGCATTTAAACCAGGTTAATTTAATAATGCTAACTTTAAAAGCACGCCGGCGCATATTGTAAAGCCCGTCGAAAAACTTTGCGCGGTCGTAATTAACCGCGCTTTACTTAATTTGCCATGCGAAATCCCGCTAATGCGCAATTTTAAAAATTAAAAAAATACCAACGTTAAAAAGCTATAATTTATGGGTTGTATGCGGAAAAAAAGGGAAAATTACGATTTTTTTTTTTTCGCACTTTTTTTAAAACGGCAATGTTAAATGGGATCCGTAATTGTTAATTAATAATAAGCGATATTCGTTGGGCGACGAAAGCGTCGTTTGCTTAACAAAATAATTAAACCAATCGAACGCAATTAAATCGTCGGTTTAGCCGTTTTCGTTTATAATAAAAGTCGTTTTTAAATTTAAAAAGTTACGCACGTATTTTTCGTTAATATAAATCCCGGCTATAATAATAAACGAAAAGATCGTTGCGCCGGCGGCCAAGCAAATTTTAACAATCGTAACGATATTTCGGTAATCCGGATCGCTTTAAAACCAAGCTTCGATATCCGTATAACATTAAATAAAGCTTTTTTAAAATACGTTTACCCGAAAGCTTATTTTATTAAAATTTTATTTATTTTCCGGCTTAATTTAATATTTTTTTACGTACCGCGCGTAAAAATCGAACCATTTTTTTAGCACTAGCTTATTTTGTACCGCGCGCTTTTCGATAGCTCGCGGCTTTTTTTTTACCCGTTTTAGCAACTTTTTATAAGCCAAAAACTAGGTTTAAACTTATTTTTTTTAGCGTTCGTCGAAAAAAAGGTTAGCCGGCGGCGGAGGATTAAATTAACGGTTTGGGCGACGGCAATTGCGGTAACGGCGTTTTTTAAAAAAGGTTAATTTATTTACTAACAAACCGTACCCAAAACCGTTTGGATTAATTTACCGATTAATTGCTTCCAATTAGCCCACGCAAGCAATGCAAAATTTTTGGTTTTTGTTAGCTTTTTATTGTGCTCGCCGTTTTTTATTTTGCCGGCGCCTTTTTGCCAGCGCTTTTGCAATAAGCAAGGGTTTATCCCGTACTGCCGCGCGCAAACGGCGAAGGTTTTAAAACCGCTTTAATCGAAAACTTCCAGGGCTATCAGGACCCGGGCTTTATTAACCCGGGCCTTTTTGCGCTTTTTTTCGTACCGGATTTTAAGCATTTCGGTAAAATTTGGCTGGAAAACCCAAAAGCGCAAGGCCTAAATTGGCGGGGTTAAAATTACGATGGTTTTTTGGCTATGTACCGTGCCTACAGGAGTTTGGCTAACTATTACCTTTTTCGGCGATACATTGGTTTTTAGCTAATTTGGGCTGGGGAAAAAATGTTACAAAAAAACGTCCGAATTGCCCCGAAAACGTCGAATTGCCCCGCGCACTTTACTCCGGAGGACCGTTAAATTGCAGG